TAAATAAAACGGCACATTTAACATGGATAAATTATACGCAAACTGCTGTACTATATTTTATTTTAGAAATCATAACATGATAAGACGGTAAAACCCAGCCAGCAAGATAAACAGATTACCTATAGTTACATGTGTATTGTACACTATGTTATGGATTGACACAATGGACAACACATCGTCTAAATGAAATAATCACAATGACTTTCACCTTGGAGATCAAGACATTTTGAATGCGCTCACTCATCTCTACCTTAGCTTGTCGCGAAATTGTATCGATTGATATACAGTTTCTTTATACAAGATGCCGACTATTTTTAACGGATTTACATTAATAGCGATGGCGTTCCGCCAGCGAACAATAAAGTAAAAAAACAAGATATTTCTATCTACCCGTGTACCTCGCAATCGACGCCGATGTCTTTACTCTTGATATCATGTTTAAAATGGCGATTTTGAAAATTTGAAAACTGGTGAGTATGCTATATAAAACTAGGCTGTTGCAAAAATACCCCCTACGGCTAATTATGCATTGGTGCCAGGCCAGCATCGAATGATACTAGGTGCACCGTGGCGATCAAAAAGTCACTGCATGGGACCATACAGAAATGTCTTAAAGGACGGTGGTTGTCGTGCCGCGTCCTGTTCGATGTGGGACTCATAGCGACGTATACAACGCGTGTAAAATATACTGGTTATTTACGTGAAAATCGAACACGCGCTGCGCGACGACCACCGCGCTTTAATATTGATGAGATATAGTTGCACCCACTCCCTGCAGTCGTCTGTGCATATACGCAGATGCTTTTTCAACCAATCCCTTTTTGAGAATATCAACTCTCAGCAACCGATTCGTTTTTATTGTTCCGTACACCCGGATATTCACTGTTCACATAAAAAGAGAATTATTCTCTAGCGGGAAACTATACATCAGACGACACCTGCAACTAACTCCACCCGGCCCCACTAACCGACTGTGTCACTGACACACTGTGACAAGATACTCTGACAGCTGCCACGGAAATCTGTTGTCGGGTATTTGTTCGCAGTCCAGCGTTGTTGGTTTGGTAATTCGTGCCATGATATCAAAATGACTCTTGGGATACAGGTGAACAAAATTATGGTCGCCGTTCTTCAAATCCTAAATTCCTTTTTCCCCCAAAGCCAAACATGACGTCATATTTTGAGCAAGATTAATAGTGCAGAGTTAAGAGGGTCAAATGTACCTTTGCGTTATGCTTCGTGAAATATGCAACTACTTCACGTGTTTTTACAATTGTCGGAACCGTTCCGCTTTAGTTGACTGATAATATCATGGCCAAACCAAGTGGGCCCTTAAGACTACAGAGACAGTGGTGGCGGCTCGAAAAAAAATTGGGGTGGCGTCGCCCCTCCAAAATCAAAATGCAGGGAATAACGTTTCAGAAGCTCTAGATTTCAACATTTTTAAATGGGAGAATGCCCCCGGACCCCTTAGTAAGGTGGGCAGATCTCGCCTCTCCATGTAAAATGTCATGCCTCTGAGAGACACTTTTGGCACTGGCAAGCATATACCAAACAAGCAAGTAACAATATCTCAGCGCCCGGGAAAAAATTATAATCAAATTAGTATATATCAAATATTGGTAAATATTTACTCCAAAACAACATGTATTAGCCTAGCTGATGTTGCTTTCCATGCGCCAAATAAAACAGTGTGAGGGCAGTGGATTTGAAGTATGACCGATCCAGACACTCTAGTTATCTGCCCACCTAACCCCAAAGATAGGTGCTATGCGGGATCATGCCTATGTTGAAGTATGAATATATTACACACTACACACACACCAACCTTTAAAACGACGAAACTAAACCATAGAATGATTAAACAGATTCACACAGAAACGGAAATCACCAATTTGGAAATAATTTGAAAAGTGTATAATAACAAATAACTTGAACATATATAAATTTTAATTCTTTTAGCCACCTAAAATAAACCTAGGCTTCTTATTATTATTACAAAGCATACAACAGCGTAAAATGCAATCTGACTGCGGCCTTCTGACGGATTTAATGACGACGTAAACATGAATATTGATACAGAGGGCGTTCTGATTGTGGCGGTCACGGTAATTCACGATAAAACGCGCTTGATGTATGACACAGAAATTAAGAAAATAGCGGAACGAGCCAGTATATGAAGACATTTTGTTATTATATTGTACGTTTATTCTCAAATTATGTTGTCATTGGATTCAACGGGTTTTCTGATCATTTGCATACGTGCATATCAAATATGTGACACAAACTCATACGATGACGTCAGACTAATCATGGTATTATTCTCTATGGCTACTGTAATGGTATTTATTTTCACAGGATTTTAATTTTACTATTCAGCATTTTCAGGGAAATCATTTTGACTAATTTGAGAGTGTTTTTTTTTTATTTTTCCTCTTGGTTTATTGACGAACTCATTACGTTATTAAATTAGTCTTCTTAAAATCAAATGAATCCTAGTACTAGTAATTAAATACGTTTACAATGGCACGTGACTCGTAACCAAACGCAGCCATGTCTCTCTGTCAGTGCGTGCATTTTAGCAAATTGATGTACATTTATTTAAAATGATGGTTGTTTTTGGCTCGCCAATTCTTTACTCCTGGTATGTTTACTTGCTTGATCAAATGTTAGCTTCCTGTAGAAATTACGTCATCATTCCGTACTGGGATTACTTAAATCGTTATTGGACAAACACCATGTTTTAAGATAACTGTTAGATGCGACGTGAAAAAATTCTGAGTTTCATTCGGAAAATATTTATGTTTAGCGGGATTCGCTCGGTTTTAGTGAATACATTACACTCTGCTCGTTAATAAACATCGAAATTTTAATATTGGTTTTATCGAATGCATTGCTTCCCGGAGAAGGGTCGCCGTTGAAATGCATGCAAGTGATATGCAAATTAGGTAGGGAGAACGTGATATGCCCCGGTGTGAGCACTGAGATATGTACAACAACACCCGGTTGAGATATTGGCCTCGGTTGGATAGCTATATAACAGCGTTGGCTATTTTTAAATTGAACTCCGTGCCATTTTGACCGGTTTCTCCATTATAATGTGGGTCTTTTATATCCAGTGTGCGTGCCACTGATGTGAAAGTGAAAAAAAATACGACCTCTCAATAAATAACAGTGACTGCTAAACATAGCTATAACGGACGTGTGGTGCCGATTTGGGTAATTTAGACCGTTCCATGCACCGCGGGGAGCCCCGCCGACTGACCTGCACGCGAGGCTGCGTATTCCGTCATATTTGCTAACAGCGGCTTCATATTCCCCAAAATTGACACAAATTTAGTAAAAAAGTAAAAATTGGTCACGTAGAAAAGACGTTTTTAAATTGTTTAAAGAATATTAGGAGTTGACCCGAGTTGAACGTAATACAGTGACGGCTTCGGTAACAGCGACTGGGGCAGTCACGGTAGGGCGGAGTGCCAAAGAAAGGCCCCATTTTTTACATGCGATGCTTTAGAATTTTACCGATCATCGCCTCAACACTGTTCGCTGATGATATCAATCTAAAATGAAAATGGATTGGCAATGATATACATAAAAGCAAAAAAACGAACGAAATTCACGAGAAAACACATTAGCAGAGGAAGACCGATGTGAGATATATATAGACAGTAAAAGAAAGCGTTTCGTGTAAACTCTCCACATGTTCAGTATTTTGATACTAAATATGCACCATGCCATCGGCAGTTGTACAATTCGGGGGTCAACCCAACATGTGCGTTGCTTATTTATTTATTTATTATTTCCATCTAAAATCTTGGATTTCTTCCTTCACTAACAGGGTTTCCATAAACCCCCTCCATTTTTACCGGTGTGAAACTTTTTTTATTTTTCCAATACGAGTTTAAATAAATACTCGTAATTCCTTATAATACAACAAGCTAGGGCGTTGGCTTGTTTTTTGTTTTTGTTTTTAATTCTGTGACTTTTGCGAAGTATTTGAAACAATAAAATAAAATGAAAGGCAGCTTTTTTTAATAATATTAATAACATACCTGTGTTTAAAATACCTGGAAAAGGATGTGGAAATATAAATCACATTTTCTTAACTTCGAGAAATATATTTATTACCGCTTTTCATTAAAAAAGAGAAAAACAAAATTTAGTATTTTACCGAGGCATTTGAGTTTGATCTCGTGTTTAACATCTTTGCCAGAATTATTTCAGTTATTTGTGTTATATTATTTCAAAACTTGGGCAGTACCAGGGGTCATCGGGGAAAGAGTGCAAGTGGCATGGAAAACACCCCTAAATGAGGTGCTTGATCCGTTACAGACGCCGCCGGCCGCGCACGTTTACCATTTTCGGGATGGTATGTAATGGAAATACCACACTCTAAATAATCTTGTCAACCCCCTAAGAGTGTGGCTTATCACTGTGGACTGTGAAAACATTCACCAGTGTCAATGCATAATAAAAACGGTGGATCAATGTCATTATTCATATGACCAGCATTTCTACGATTCGTAATTTAAAAAAAAAAAAATAGGACGAGCTCATACGGCTAGTCGCATATATAAAACGGACATATTTTGGTATTTTTCGTAAAACGGCCTGGTTTCGACAAGATTTGACATCAAGGATTTTTATTAATGTTAACTTCCTGATTTTGATGTGTGCGTCGTTTGTGACCTGCGCCTAATATTTGATATTTACATACATATACTGTAAAATGAATATAATATGCCAATGGATTGAACGCATACCGGTAACAAGCGCCACACGTTAAGGACGGGAGTTTTAGGAAAGCTTAGGTCAAATAAACGAAACACATCTTAAACTGAACTTGGAATGCCAAGGAAATAAAAATATTTCATGCGGGACATTTACACCTCCTCTTTGCCTGTAATTGTATTCCCCTGGCCCCCTTATGTACCCCAATGACGTCACTCGTGGAACCACTCGTACCCCTACGCATGCTCAGATGGGTTCAGACGTGTACCCCTGAACAAAAAACAGACACCATTCGCCGTACCTAGTGTAATTAGCAGAATTTTTTCACGGCGTGCGGGTCAGCGGACAACGACACGTCGTCACCTTTCGCCAGCCTTTTCAACATCTTCATATCGAGAGACTTCGGTCAGAGTCACTGAAAAAATCATCGCCAATTGATCGGTCAGGGAGAGGTGCTGCTGTGTTCCTCCTTACAAACTGTGTTCGTCGTCACCATCCTTTCTGCGCTGTGCAGTACTGTACTGTGCCGCTCCTATACACCCCATGTCAAAGAAGACTTCGCGTCGTAGACTCGTGAAATCCGAGGTAAGACAAAGAAAATACAACCAAAGTATTTTTTTTATCTTGTTTTTATGTGGGAGTATTTTTAACGCGAAATATGTAACCAGTGCGCATTGTCGCACATTTTTTTTCGTCTTAAAATATACCTCATGTAATATGCAATCGTTGACCGCAGTTGGAGGGCAGCTGATTGCCTGCGCTCATTTTATCACGTTCGATGTCGATGATATACCCGCAAATATGGCGGCGAATATGGGGCGAAATATTAATTGTCAACATCGTGGATAAATTGGTTTTATTTTCTTGAATTTTCCAGATTTCGGTTTTGCTTTTGGTTCGTTTATTTTCCACTTCAATTCGGTAATTTATTCGCTTTTGTTTCAATATTACGCGAGAATAAAACCTGTGCATCGTTTGTGAGGCGGCGGGCGGGGGCCCTGTATTTGTGTATCAACAGTATGACGCTGCTGCCTATTCATATTAAAACAGGAACGACTGCCAATATACGCGCTTGGTTTTTCATATGCAAATGAAGTTCATTTTAAGTGACAGGGCAAACGCTGTTATTTACAACCGATGTGGTACATTTCACATCCCTCTCCGAGGACAATCGCCAAATGAGTATATAATATTCAAATTGTTGGAGGTCGAATATTTTATGATAATGCGGTCTGCGCTTATCTATATCACCGCACACGATACAACATCAGAGGCCAGCCATCAAGAGACCCTCCAGCAAATTTCGAGGCCATCGCGAAGAATCTCGCTGGTGATGGGGCGCATACTGCTTGTTTATTGTCTATTTCGAGTCATTTATTCCGTGCATATTTTAATTTTCTCACAAAACTAAAACTGTTTTTGTTTTCAGTTTTACATTCCTGTTTCCAATATTATTATTTTTTCTGGATATTTCCTGGTTTCAAAGAACATGGTTTATTTTCAGTTTCTTAAGATCTCGCATTAGATTTAAATACTTAACGACCTTCTGAAAAACAATTCATTATTTATAGTTTAATTTAGTTTCAATACGGATAAAACGAGGACAATTTTATTATCAAGAGGATTAAAGCAACTCCGATTTTAACTTCCTGCTTTCGAAAAAAATGCTTTTATATTTCTCGGTCCAGTCCAGATAATTAAAATTACCTTTGAACGTAAATTATTTTGGTGTGATCTTCAGGAAGAGCACGCGTCGACTCCGATTACTACTGATATTGTTTGGAAGCCACTTAATTGCCTTTGATATCTCCATCAGTTCGAAAGACGTTTGCCGGCTCGTTTGAAGTGAAATTCACAAGGCGTTGGTGACACGCGCGTCAGACGGAACAAAGCCAAGAGGATTCTAGCATGGAACGGACAAAGAAAGGGGCCGTCGGGGTCGTGCACTTTTCAACCCGTTGTGACGCGATAACGATAACGTTCCCCGCCCATAAATTATCGTCACAAAGGGTATTTATTCTGGAGCATAATCTAATATACCCCCTCTCGTACCAGAATTCCCACGTAATATATATTTCTTTCACAGCCCCACAAAGTCAAAACCTTTTCCTTCTCCAAGCCTCAACTATTCATCCGTCATAACAGAGCTGGAACTATTATAAGATTTTCTCATAACAAAGCACTGACAAACACATACATTTATTTATTTATTTATTTATTTATTTAAAAAAAGAATAGTAAAAATAAAAACACATTCGTTGTTGAATATCGCTCTCTAATATTGGAATATATTAGTAGATTGCATTTCGCGGTGCCAGAGTTGTTCTGCGATAATGATCGTGAATTTTTGAAAACATCAAAATGTTCCATTTGTCATCGCCCATTACAGTGCAGTGGGTGTTCCAGGCGTGTGGCAAATGCGACCTTGTACTAACACGGCCGTGTACAGTGAGGAAGAGAGTGAGGTACAGTCGTTCACATAGGGATATTATGTATCTACTGCACTAGTTCGTCTGTAGGATATCTGTAGTATAAAAAACGGTATCCTACGCGAGCCTCTGACCTTCAAGACTTCATTTCATTTGGTTTCTGCTAGAATAAAGGAACGTGGTACGTGAATTTAATTAGGGCATTTAAATACGAACACTAGTACAGGTCGTTCGCCGTGACATTTTCTGGGAATTTGTTCTTAGTTGTTTTCAGTTTCGTAAGAATATGAGCACTAGGATAAGATGATACATCATACACAGAACTTCGACAAAGACACTATAAATACACACAAACCGATGCCGCCCCACAAGATCTCAATCGTTGAAGACCGGTCTTACTCATTTCTTAACGTTTTTGTTTCTTCGCCCAAAGCATTTCCATTGAATATATGTTTTGTTTCTCTGCCAAGTCATTTGTACCAGATTTTTTTTTTTGACGCCATGGGGAGTACTTTCCGGTGTGCCTTGGTGACACGTGTAACTCCTATACAATTAGTGATTTTAACATAAACCCCATCCTGAATGAGTGTGAAGTTGAACTCTATTTTCTTTTGTTCAAACCCCGCATGGAAAACTAACAAAACAAAGCAAAACAAAACAACGAGAAAGGTTCATAGAGAAAACAAAAATCAAATATATTTTTGTTTTGTCAAGTCACTTTGAAAATTATTTTTTTTAAATTCGCGAAAGAGAAATACTACTATTTGTCAAGGTACCTCGTATAAATTTGATGTAGTGTTTGCATCCATTTTACTGAACTGAGAGTTGTACATCAATAACACACTGATATAATAATGTGACCCAAGTGACTGGTGATTTGTGTCAATGTATCAGACAATTATAAGTGTATTCCCAATTTGGATTTCATCGAATGTTCACCACTGATATTAACCACCCCTCATTCCCTTTCATATCCACCTCCTGATTGGTTAAAATCATTCCAGTGATTATATTCATTTGAATATTTCTTTCCAGTCATCAATTGATTCAGAAAATATTAACAGACGATATATTACTCTCGTGTATTTATGAACAATTTTTATTTAATTTTTTAACTACCATATTGTAACTCTGTACTAAACTCAGTGATTTCAACAAGTTACAGTACTTGGCTAAGTTTGATATTTGTATGCACAGCAAATGATAAAAGATTGACAAACTTAGGGCCCTAATGATGTTGTGAATATCTGCTAGCCTACCAGGGTAAAAAAACTGGTTTTATAACACCATGGAGGTACACATGCTGACACACTAAGTCTGTTTTCAAAGTTTATTCGTGTTATTTTCAATCACAATACAATACTGGCATACTGTTGTCACCCATTCGAAATCGCGGGAGGGGGGAATTTTTTCGTCCTAATTTTTTCCCCAAAGGTGACAAGCTTAAATTTTTTTCATCACATTTCTCAGCCCCTCCCCCCCAATGATATCATGATTTCTATTACCATTCGAGCACATGCTAATTTGATGATTCATTTATTCAGCAAATTAAAAATTAGTAAACATTAAATATTTCAACCAAAAAATTTCAAATTACTTATCTCTGAATACAGAATAGTTATTAGTCCCCGTTCGGACGGAGTCCGAAAACGGGGACTTATGTTTTGCCCTGTGTGCGTCCGTCCGTCCGTGCGTCCGTGCGTCCGTGCGTCCGTGATCACCTGTATCTCGAACATGCATGGACCGATTATGTTCAAACTTCACTCATACATCACACATTATATGGGACATATGCACATGCATTTTTTTCATGATCCGATTAACGATAGCCGAATAGCGGCCATTTTAAGGCCGAAAATGCATCAAAATGGCACATTTTCACCATTCCGGACCCAGATCTCAGTTATGCATGGACGGATTTCGTTCAAATTTGGTACATACATTAAACATAATAGGACCTTGATGCACGTCATTTTTTTTTTCGGATCAAGTTCGAAATGGCCGACTGGCGGCCATTTTGTTTTAAAGAATTCAGTTCTGGATCCGTATCAGAGACATGTCTGGATTGATCAAGTTCAAACTTCACACACACAAGGTACATCATGTCACAAATATGTATGTGCATTTGTTTCATGATCCCATTAACGATAGCCAAATGGCGGCCGCTTTAAGGCCGAAAATGCATTGAAATCGCACATTTTCACCATTCCGGACCCAGATCTCAGTTATGCATGGACGGATTTCATTCAAATTTGGTACATACATTAAACATAATAGGACCTTGATGCACGTCATTTTTTTTTCAGATCAAGTTCGAAATGGCCGACTGGCGGCCATTTTGTT